AACATTTGATGCAACTTTAAAGTTCTAAATAAAAATATGGAAATTATTGTACAAACTCCCCCCCAACCAATCAAAAAAATCCCAAACTTTTGTTCTCTCCCAAACACACATCTGATAATCCCAGAACCTTATTCAAGGTGAAAAGGTCCCACTGCTTAGCTCTGGAAACTGCAGCAACTCTCCAGCTCTCTTCCTTTCCTTCTGAACTCAGCCAGCAAGTACAATCCCTTCCTTAGGATTTCTACACCTATGGAGCCAAACTAGTACATATAGGGAAAGGCTGCTGGTGTCCAGATTTCCTACACCTGTTTGCAATTGGATAGGTGTAAAGCAAAACCTGAAAATTTCTTCCAATTCTGTTAATAAATTTAAAAAAGTTTTTGGCACAGAACACATAAAATCCTGCGCTTATTTGTCTGCCATGTGGCAAGCACAATCCACTTCTAAGGAGCCATTAAGTTGAAAAAATTCCATTCAGTCGTGGCAAATAGAATCACAATCTCACCATTTTGCTATTTCCCATGGTAGTGCAGGAGAGGCATGATTTTTGAGTTCTGAATCTGAACTCAATTTAGATTTGCAAGTGAAAACAAGCTTGTACTAAATCAGCCCAAACAGAAATTGACAGTTTTCTGAAGTGTTCAGTTGGGGGTCTCAGTTCCACATGGGGTAAAGGAGTCCATGCATATCCCTTGCAGGTTTTTTTTTTAAATGTGCTGAATTGTAACAAAATTTCAGAATTGCAAGATTCCATATTGACTTGGTATTTTTAGAATGTGTGCACAGATGTAAGTGCTGATTCTACTAAATCTTTTCCCTTGTTCTCTTGTTCTGTTTCTCATGCATGCATGCTTTGATGTCTGCACCAAAGAAGACGTTATCACAAAGATTAAAGCAGGATGGAAGCTAAATTCACGAAGCATCTTTTTTTTTTCCTTGGACAAAAAAACATGGGAAAGCGCAAAACGCTTTTGTGAGTCAAAAAACACTGAACTCGCTACTGTTAACACAGCTGAAGAACAGGTGAGCAAAACAATGGAATACATGGAAAGCAAGCATAGCCTTTTAAAGATTTGATGATCTTTGAAGTTCTATAGAAGCTTGGC